CAACACCCAGCCAATGGGCAACACCCACCTAGCACCCAACGATGCATAAGTGGGTTTTGGGTTGCAGTTTGGGCACTCGGTCTCTAAAAGGTTTGCCATCACTGATATAATGTAACCTCAAAACTAGTAATCATAACAATGCAATAAAAACAAAGAAACAGGAGAAAGGCCTGGAAAGTTAGCTTATTTACTCCTTATTACTTTCAAAAAAAGGTAATCATATTTGCTGTTCCTTGTCCTTTTGTTGAATTTAAAAAAATCACCTTTGAGAAGCAATTCGTACAATTCTGTAAAACGGTATTGGCTTCCTTTTTGATTTTCTGATTTTTATTTTTTTTTGCCTAACTGTACCACTGAATGATATCAGAGCTTCATGCTTTTATATGTTGGCAAGATCTAGCCATCGAATGATGCACAACACCAAATTTAGCATTTGATTCATTTGTTTCATCAGCCAAGTCATCCAACATGCGATGTGTCAGTCTGAAAAAGTTAATGCACCCCTAGACTCATTGACTGGTTTGCAGCATTCGAACTACAATCAAACCAACCTTTAATAAGCATTTTCTGAGGTTGTCGGTTACACAAACAACATTTTTGTTGTGTTTATCTCAGTTTAGGATCTCAGGAGACCAATTGCACACTATTTACCAGGAACAAGAACTTTTCCAGAGGTTATTCATTTTCTTTAAAATACAAAGCCTGGGACTTTGTTCCTCCAGAATCTCCAACCTTTTCAGAACTTCAGAAGCAGCAATAGCACAATGGGCCAGTCAAGCTAAAACACAATGGCTGGAGCTAAAGAAACTGTCAAGAAACACTAGGAGATAAATCAAAAGGGTTTTTTTTTTTAATTCCACAAAGGTTTTTAAAAACAGCTTCCTATTTGAGCCAAAGTCAGTAGCAGCTTTCAAGTGACTTGAGTAAATCATGTCCTCTGTGCGGCATTTTGATTTCAGTTTACTCCCTTGAGCTGGGGACCTGTCATATAATTTTAATAAATAAATGTAAAATAAAAAGATGTATTTTAATTAGAGAGAGGAAATGAACTCCAGGAATGCTGTTGTTATTGGTCAGCGATGGCGAACCTTTTAGAGACCAAGTGCCCAAACTGCAACCCAAAACCCACTTATGCATCGTCGGGTGCCGGGTGGGCGTGGCCCATTAGGTGGGTGTGGCCCATTGGGTGGGCGTGGCTGCGGTGGTAACAGCAGACTGGGTGGGACTAAAAAGTTCAATCAATCAATTCCAACTTTGCAAGATCTTTTTTTTTCCCACGAGAAATTGAAATTGACTGATTGATTGACCCTTTTTTTTTTTTTTTGCACATGGCGGCAGAGGCCTAAAGTGAAAAGGTTTTATAAAACCCAGCTGAAGGCCTAGGATTGGGGCGATGGCACGCGTGCCCACAGAGAGGGCTCTGAGTGCCGCCTCTGGCACCCGTGCCAGAGGCTCGCCACCACTGTTATAGGTGGTGGCCACAACTTCACAAGAGTTGTTCTAACCTAGTGGTTGTGGAAACCTACCACGGGTGGGATACAGGACAGGATTAGAGCCAGAGAGATGTCAGAACTGGTTCTAACTTTTGGCCTTTGGAGAGTCATCATCCTGGCAAGCCCCAAAGGTGCTTTTTCAGGAGGCAACTGGACTTCTTTGTTTTTCTTTGAAGACATTTCGCTTCTCACCCAAGAAGCTCCTTCAGCTCTAACTGGATGGTGGGGAATGGAAGGATTTATATTCCTTGCAGACCGCTGGCCATTTGCATTCTTTTAGAGAGTCATTGAGACCACCTAGAGGTTTGTTACCTGTGTCCTCAGGGTCACCTGAGTAGCGCAAATGGGTGTGGAGGCTTCTTGGCTGCAGGATCTTGGATGAGAAGTGAAACACCTTCAAAGAAACACAAGAAAGTCCAGCCGCCTCCTGAAAAAGCACCTTTGGGACAACCATGATGACCTGGATGACAGAGAACCTCCGTGGACATCCTGGCAAGCCTTTTGCGATGGTTGGGAGAAAAAGCGAGCTGCTGACTCCTCTGTTTTCATTTCATCAGCCTGCAAACTGGCTTCTGCTGCCAAGGTTACTTCCCCAGCAGCACTGAGGAGATAGCAAGAATGTAGAAGCTCATCCAAGGGAAAGCGTTTTGGAGAAGGCAAGGAAGCCTCTCTTGTTTTTCTGCAAAATAAGGCCTTTGTCAAAGGGGGAACCCCTTCTTCCCCTCTTCCTTTGGAGCTCAAAGCATTCCTGGACTCGGGCACCTCTGGAGGTACACACGTTCTCCTTGCTTTTAAAATTCCTGCCTGATTTCTGCCACCTCCACCCTCTTTGGGGAAAGCAAAGGTCAAGTGCTGTGTGTATCTAGGCTTGTTGTTGGGATAATTAAGACAATGCATTCATCCTGCAAAATCAGCTCTTCCCTCCATCTGTTGCTTGGTGCTGAATGGCCGGCATTTAATTATCTCCGTTTTCGTACCTTGCTTATGGGTTTCTGCCTTACTACTAACCCAGCGTTGATGTTTTGAGTCGTGTTTGTAAGGGTTTTTGAGAGCAGACGTCCTTTTACTGCCCGCAGGCGTGGTCTGTGTTTTGCATGAAATCAACAAAGAGTTTCTACTTCTGTAATGCCAGTGAAGGAGAATATTGGTAGCTCAGGGTTGAACTGAGGGGGTCCTTGGTGCTCTCTGAGCTTGCTTGTTTCCTTGCAGACATTTCATTACCCAACTAGGTAACATCATCAGAGCTAAAAGGGTGTGCTGTTTGCTGTCAGTTTATATTCTGCTGTCTTGCCTCTCTGGGTGGATGGGTGGGGCCGGTCTTAGGGATTGTATTGATGGCTAAAAATGTGACAATCCTAGACCAGGCCAAATCAAAAATGCCAGGAAATTTCTGGAAGCCTGGCACTCTGACAGATCAGACATCAACAGACACAATAGACATGAACAGCATCTATGGATTATGCAAAAGAGACAATCAACCAGCCCAAAAGACAAAATACTCCAGCACCTCTCCACCAGTAATCAGCACTCAGATCAGCATAGATTAACTCCAACAATCAGACCAACAATCAAGTAAACACTACCCGAATCAAGAAACTGCCAAAGAGCCCTTAGTAAAAGCGCCCAACCAAAGAATCCCTAAAACTCCAGAATATAAACCGACAGCAAACCGGTCTCCTTACTAACACTGATGATGTTACCTAGTAGGGTAATGAAATGTCTGCAAGAAAACAAGCAAGCTCAGAGAGCACCAAGGAACACCCCTCCTTTCTTGTTTCCTGTAACGATTCTTTAAATAGTCCGTCCGATTGGGTTTTCATCGTTTCAGACTTTGGGCTGGGGGGAGAATGACTCTATTGGCTTCTGTAGCTGCTTCCCAAGCATGGGAGTCTACTTTCCATGGTCTTCAGCCAGCGTGCTCCTTACATCTTAGTTGGTGAGGATGAGAGCTTAATCCAACATGTCCAGATTGGCCGTAACAAGAAGAGGCAAGGTCTTGTTAGCCTTTAAGGGCATTGCCTGCTGTGGTTAAACTGATGTTGAGGAAAATGCTATTTTACTTGATGTCCTCCAGTGCTGCAGTTCTCTTCAAGGCATGGCCATCTGGGTCTGGTTTTGCGGTGAGAAGATATAAACTACCCAACATATACTGTATGTTGCGCTGTTTTGCTACTTGGGCTCCTTGAGGAAGGAATGTTTGGCTTGGTGTTTATGGCCTCTTCCAGCTGTCTTTTTCTTTGCCTCTTTAGATGTCACAATACTCTGAGCACCATAGGACTATTTAGCTAAATGCATCTCTGCTTAACATTATAACTGCAAGCTTGGGGGCCTCCACTTGAAGATGGATTACTATTGCCAGCAGCATCTGTGAAAATGATTAGTGATGGAGGATATGGGGAGTTCTACAATAGCCAGAGGGCCACAAACTCCCCATCTCTGCTTTAGAAGTTGCATTTGTAATCAATGGCTGTCCCAATTTCACAAAATTCTTTCCTTGGTTTCTTAACGTATTAGCACAAGCAGATTTTTTGGGCATTGTAGAGAGAAAGCTTGTTGTGGTGCTACCTCTTTGACCTTCTCTTCTTAAGACACACTTTCTGATTTGACTTAGGGGCAATAGAGAGTTATCATCCAACCTGTGTTAGTCATCAATCTTTTTCAAATTTCCCACAATAACCTGGATCCACAGCGCTGTAAAGCACTGTGGGAAATTTACATGGTTACTGTCAATCTGTTTGTACTTGGTGCCAATGAACCTTGTACTCGTGTTGAGTTCTCACTAGCTACATAAGGATGCTATGCATGGATATCAGATGTAGCATCAATATAATTTTCATTGTTCCCTGTAAGTTTTAACATCTGAAAACACTTGAGGGAAAGTTTAGGAACAAAAGATCTTGCATGTTCCAAGCAATATCATGATATATATACTAATAAAATAGTACGCAGTAGGAGTAGTGAGAAAAGTTACTACAGTTTAGATTAAGTCTCTCCTCTTTTCTTCCTTTTTTTCATTCTTCTGTGTCCCAGGCCTGATTCACCTATGATGCTGTATAAGCCATGTTTCTCAACCTTGGCCACTTTAAGATGTGTGGATTTCAGCTCCCAGAATTCATGGCTGGTTGGGGAATTGTGGGAATTGAAGTCCATGCATCTGAAAGTGGCCAAGGTTGAGAAACACTGCTATAAGTTATGCCATAAGGTATTTTGGTTGAATATGTTGAGAAAATCCGTCCTCCTCAAACACAGCATTGGGATATCTTAGTTTCTTTTAACTCTGGCTTCTTCTTCTTCTTTGCTTTTGTGCCACACATTTCTCCTAGCACCAGCAGAAGAAATGAAGAATCAATTCTAAAATTCAGCCCAACAGGCTCCGAGAACTTTGCCCACCTGCAAGATTGAGCCTGGCTTGTTCCAGGCGTGTTCAACCGATTGTAATTAGAATAGCTCTTGGTTCAGCATTAGATACAAATGCAGCCTTTAACTCCTTCTCTTTCTCGTTTCTAGGATGCTTCTGTGGTCTGGGATTGATCTACACCAACAAAACGTGCACCATGCCTCCCATCACTTTCCAGGACTTGCCGCTGAACATCTACATGGTGATTTTTGGCACAGGTGTCTTCATCTTTGTGCTCAGCCTGATTTTCTGCTGTTACTTCATTAGGTGGGTCATGCTTCCAAAGGGAGTCTTGAGTGCAGATGGCCAAAGAGAGGCAACTCAACAAATGTGCCTAGGCTACTGGCTACAGTTGTGTGTTCTCTTGCTATTTCCAAATGAATCAATTACTTGAAAGTATTGATTCTTCTTCAATCTAGCCCCCGGTTAGATTGAAGAAGAATCAATACTTGCAGTAATTTTAAACCTCTTTGGATTGGAGTAGTGGATTTCAAACTAAGTTCCAAGGTCAACAGTACGATCCCTGGGAGCCTGTTGTGGATTCTTCCATAAAACATTGGGTTGGGTTTATATAACGTACGAACCCACTCTTTATTTTAATCATGACTTACAGTCTCAGGCAAAAGCTTTGTTGCTTGCTAATCTACTTGATTCTTCTAAATGTCAGGGCTAGAACTGAATCTGGATATTTTTGCATGCAAAGGGATTGTCCATGGAAATGTATGATCCTTAGGCATTCAAATCACAGGCTGGAGGGATCAGGACATGAAATCAGCCCTGTTCATTCAAGATAATCAACTGTGCTGTTCTTGATTTTTGTCCGTCTTCTCTGCTGACTTTGATTGAAGCCTCCATTATGAAAAATGTAAGAACTGGTGGGCAGAAAGATGGAATATTACAAAATTTTGCCCTTTGTTATATGTCAGTTATGCTAATTGGGTTAGATCGAGAGTGAATGTATCCAGTTCTCCAAGATCCCTTAGTTTTAATGTTCCCGAGGCAAATACAAAGTAGAAAATTCTGGATGTAATTTGGAGCCTTTTGTCATCTTAAATCAAATCTGGCTCGTAAAATTTCCAGGGCAAACCCTGCTACATGCTGGCAAGCCATTTCTGGCTAAACAAAAGATGCTGCTTCCGTTTAGTTTCCTCAAATCAAATTGTTGTTCATCAACACCCGCCCCCCCAAATAGACATAAACAATACAGTGGCTGGAAACTGGGTACAAATCTTAAACTGACAGTTCAAATGGTTCCTAAGTGGACAGTTGTAACTTAGAAACGTCCTGTACTGTAACTCAAGAGTTCCCCAAACTTTCTGGCTTTGTAGACCAGTGGGGGGGGGAGGGGATAGTTCTGCACAAGCGGCAGGCACACACACCTGCCACTCTTGCAAATGGAGGGTGCACACACGCTCGCCTGCCGCTCGGTTGTGAAAAGCTCATGGCCCAGTAGTGGGGCCGGGCCCAGCAGTTGGGGAACCCCTGTTGTAACTTACTATTAGCTGGGAATACTACTCCTGAAAAATTACTTTCTTTTCTTTGCTCACTGATTTAACTGGACCGCTGTAAGGGATAAGCAACTCTGCTATCCATATGGTTTGGATTTCAAGTCCCACCAGGCCTCAAGGGACTGTAGGAAATATGGTTCAAATCATCTGCACACAGATGCATTCTTTTTCTCCTCTGTAGCTAATTTCATCTTTCTGAACTTAAAAATTCCGAAATATTTTCATCATCATTTCTCAAATGAATGGTGACTTCATCGTGAGCCTGGAGTTGCGCGCTTAAATGGATGTAATTGTGAGCCAATGCTGAGAATAATAGCCAGCCATTTCAGAGGACCGATGCTGGTTAAAAAATCTAGCAGGAAATGATAGGAAGTTGGGGGAAAGGGTCTTATTCTAAAGGCTGGAATAGATCTATTGTCTCTATGGAAGATGTCCTGGCTCCTTATCTATTTATGGAAAGCTTATTTTTAAACTCTGCAGTCATCTGCAGCCAGAATGTCTAGAAGGAGCCTGGTGAATGACACAGAACTGCTGTCTTCCAACTCATTCTGGAGCTTTGGGACCACAGAACATTAAATGGAAAGATACAGGAGAGATGTTAGGTTTGCCTTTTTCCCAGCTAATCAATGAGTATTAGCTTGCTGTGTGTGTGTGTGTGTGTGTCAAGGTCAAACTTCAGCTGTTCTAGTTTTGAAGTGTCAACACTGAGTTGTCAGGCTAATAAATCATGACTGAAGTTTCCTCAAGAATATTGACTGCTAGCTTTTCAAAAGTTGTGTTGCTCTGTCAGGGGGCTTAGAGTGGCTTTGGCACCTCAGCTCAGATCTTAGGACTTGAAAGTGGATCAATAGACTATCTGTCTCCAACCTGGTATCCTTTGAATGCAATTGGGCTGCAGTTTCCCCAGTCGTGGATGTTGCAATCCAACTGTATAATGCACGCTGCAGAACTGTGTCGACATGTGCTCCAGCTTCTAAAATCTGATATCAGCACTCTCGTTCCTTTGGTTAAGAACTGCAAAGTTCTTCCTTTTTCTCTGATCGTAATCCATATGGCTGAAAGCCCTAGATGCTCATCAAAATGGCTGGCCTTTCATCCTAAAGTAGGAAGCGGAGGCACTTTTTCCCTCAGAATACCTTCCAGATGGAAGCTGTTGCAGGGAAGTGCAGATTATGATTTAAATATGCAGAAGGTCCCAGATTCAACCACTGGCAGCTGCAATTCAGTGTCTGAGAGAGCAGGTGATGCAAACAAAAATAGACGGTCTTGCTCAAGATGGACCGGTTTCCTGGACTGATCACGTAAGGGAGCTTTATATCTTTGTAATATAGCAGGATACATCTGTGCAGGCAATGGAACAGCCAATGCACATTTATCCTCGTTTCCCTAAGTTCTGTATGCCAAATAGACCCACAATGCACAAACAAAAGCAGGCAGGGAGGGAGATCCATGATGAAGAGAACCAAGGGGAAGACTCTACTTTGCTAGCTGTGATATCATCAAGATCTGCTGGAACAAACACAGTTGCCACATCCTGTGCTTCTGTCTCGAAGGATTGAAATTCCCTGCATGAAAAAAACACATCAGGAGGCAGGGAAAGTGCCATTTCTGGAGCCAAGGGTGGCAACTCCCACCTATCTCAGCAGTTGTTTTGTGTTGTTTGCCTACTTTCTTTGCTAATCACACATACAGTGCAGGAGAAGGGCATTCAGCACGCTTGCATTGTAGACATCCCCACTATAGAATTTTGCTAAAGAATATAAATGACAGAATAACAGAGTTGGAAGGGACCTTGGAGGTCTTCTATTCCAACCCCCTGCTCAAGGAGAAGACCCTATACCATTTCAGACAAGTCCAGTCTCTTCTTAAAAACCTCCAGTGTTGGAGCACTTACAACTTCTGAAGGCAACTCGTTCTCCTGATTAATTGTTCTCACTCTCAGGAAATTTCTCTTTATTTATAGGTTGGTTCTCTGCTTGATTAGTTTTCATCTGTTGCTTCTTGTCTTGCCTTCTGGGTGTTTGAAAAAAATAGGTTGACCCCCTCTTCGTTGTGGCAGCTCCTTAGATATTGGAAAACTGTTATCATGTCACCCTTTAGTCCAGGGGTTCCCAACCAGGGGTGCTCACACACCCCGGGGGAGCGAGACGATATTCCAGGGGGTGCGAAACTTGGCTTTTCAAAATTATCGTGTATATGCATAATTCATTGTCGTTGTTTCAAACTTTTGTAAGGGGTGCGAGAATATATCAGAAGTGTTCTAGGGGTACGGACTATAAAAAAGGTTGGGACCCGCTGCGCCTAGTCCTTCTTTTCATTAAACTAGACACCTCATTGTACACTTGTAAGCCTTTTAACACTAAGTAAACCAACTATTGCTGCTTGTATCCTTCCTCGTGGACTGATTAACATTTTAGATGTGAGTAGGTCAGAACATCTCCTTGGCATACAAAGGTGCCAAATCTAATGCCCAGGACTTCCAGGTATGGCTGGGAAATACAAGCTGAAAAGGGACTCTGAAAGGTGCAGTTACTGTCAAAGAAATGAGTTGAGTGAAACAATCATTTGAGTAGTTCTCGAACTCAATTCCATAAGCCAGATATAGCACTCATTCCTTTAGGACTACACTTAGCGTTCCCAAAATCTTACTACTCAAGTTCATTGGCAACCTCCCATCTCTACCCCAAAAATAACTCTGGTGTCCCCACTCTATCCCCAACACGTTTACTGCTAAAACGTGCCATTTGTAGCTAAAAAGCCAGTCAAAGAGACCATTTTCTTTTGAGGGCAAAAAAAATAAAAAGGTTGTCTGCATCTCCTCCTTTAAATTTTACTGGTCAGTTTCAGGATGAAACATCAGATTATTCATCTAGATTATTCATTTAACTCCCCCCCCAAAAAAAGCTATTCTTTCCAAAGCTACAGAACGCAGCTTTTGGTCTGCACTCTCTCTCTTTTTTTAATTTCCTTCAACAATCCTGCAGCCTCACAGAGCAATAGTTTAAGCATTTCTTGAACAGCCATATCAACAGCGTCAGTGTTTTGTCTCTTATCCTGCCCCTGATCCCAGTTTTGTGCAGCTTGGGCACAAAGGAATCTCTGTCCACGCCGAACAGAACGATGATTCAGAGTCGGTTTTCTGCTTCCCGCAGCTCAGAACAACTGGCTTGTCTCCCTTCGGCAGCAAATGGACATTTGTCTCCTGCATAATGTAACTAAGCATTGACCCAAACTTTCAAGCAGCAGAAGAAATGCCGGGTTCACGGTTAACACACTTGGAAGCTTTAACTGCCCTGTGGCAGCTGACTCTGGCAGCGTAAAATTGAAGAAAAGCCAAATTCTTGCTGACTCATCTTTAGCCATCACGTTGGCAGTTATTGGGAGGGCAGGGATAGTCCATGCACCAGATGCTATCCGCTGTCAAGAGGTGAACATCAACCACCTTCTGTTTTAAACTTAACGGAACGACTCCAGCCGTTGTCTGTGGAGGTTCTCAGTCATCCAGGTCATGGTTGTCCCAAAGGTGCTTTTTCAAAAGGCAACTGGACTTTTATTATTTTTTCTTCCCCTTCCAAGAAGCTTCTTCAATTTTTCAGTTAAACTGAAGAAGCTTCTTGGATGAGAAGCAAAGTGTCTTCAAGGAAAAACAAAGTCCAGTTGCCTTTTGAAAAAAAAGCACCTTTGGTGTGTTGAAAGAAAAGTCTTCATCCTGGTTCATCCAAGCCGGGGATAAACATGGCAACCGCTTTGGGAAGAAGGTTGTAGTTTATTGGAGAGGAGAGCCAGACAGGAAGATGGTTCTGCCAGCAAGAGAAGTGAAAAAAAAAGGGCTGAGCACATGTAGGGAGTGGGTTTTTATACCCTCAGGAGCCTTTTGTTTGGAGTTGTTCCTGTGGCGTGAACTTTGACCTGAGTCCGAGTGTGCATTTCTGGTTTTCTGATGGTGGTGGGTCAATCTTATTATGTCCAAAGGTCATATCCTGCTTCCCTGGGGCTGATGACTCTTAAGAGTTTGGATGGGGTATGTAGATTTTAGGTCTTTTGTCTTCTTAATATTCTAGCTCCCTGGATTTACATCTGCATCTCTATAGAGCTGGTTTCTGCTTGGGGAAGGGAGACCTGGGGCTATTAAGAAAAACTGGGCATGCTTTCCTGTGTTTTTAAGATCCTTTGAGGAAATATATTTTTCTGCCCTTTTAATATTTCCTTCTCTGGGGGGGCTGACTTCCCACAGGTGCTCCAGCCATTTGTAGCAATTGGTCTCCATCTGGATGTTGTTTTGTTTGTTTGATGGCATTTATAGCACTTCTGAGCTGTCCCGCCCAACACCCCACCCCCACCCCCCGAAAAATGAGATTCACAAGTTACAGGTAGCCCTAGAATTACGAAAAGTTGCTTAGCAACCCTTTGAAGTTCCAATGGATCTACTTGGAGGAGGGGGTTACTTACGACTTGGATTAAAAGCTCTGATGGTCATCACCACCCCCTGCAATCACTCTGGGCATTTGGCAGCCAGGCCACATTTACAGCCCTTTGCAGCATCCTGCAGTCACATGACCCGTGTTTTTAGGATGGTTTTGCTGAAAAAACTGGCCTTTATTTCTGGTTTTCGGCAAAACTGGTCCATAGCCAATCATGGGTTGGCTTAAAGACTGTGGCGTTTGCTTAACCACCACTACCCCCCCCAAAAAAAGGTCACATGACCAACCCTCTTTATGACCATCACCAATTCCAATTGCGGTGGGCAGGCTCCATTATGGTCGTAACTTGAGGACTACCTGTATAGGCAATACATACTGTAGATGCATATGCTTCTTTTTAAGAGCTCTGATATTTCATGGTCTATTAGCCGTATAAATGGATGCAAATAATATTGCAACCTTAACGATAAACATAGAACTCTTTGACTTCTGAGGTCCTGCCAGTTGCTACTAATAGCAGATGAGCAGGGTGCAAATATAAGTAGACAAACATGTGTTTTGTTCCAGCCACTTCCGGCTTTGTTTTGTTAGTTTGCTTTCCCACCACGAACCGCAGGGTTTGTGGATAGAGTGGAACTAGGAGCAGACCTGGTGTAAACAGTAGCAATAGATTGCTACTTTGCAGTCATGAGCAACTGCGTTTACAATATAGAGGTAGCCCTGGACTTATGACCACAATTGAGCTCAAACCTTCTGTTGTTAAGCAAGGCGTTTGTTAAGGGAGTTTTGCCCCATTTTACTAACTTTCAAACCGTTCAGTCCTAGAGGAGATCAACCCTGACTGCTCTTTAGACGGCCAGATCCTGAAGTTGAAACTCAAGTATTTTGGCCACCTAATGAGAAGGAAGGAGTCACTGGAGAAGGGCCTAATGCTGGGAAAGATTGAGGGCAATAGAAGAAGGGGACGACAGAGAAGGAGGTGGCTGGATGGAGTCACTGAAGCAGTAGGCGTGAGCTTAAATGGACTCCAGAAGATGGTAGAGGACAGGAAGGCCTGGAGGAAGGTTGTCCATGGGGTCGCAATGGGTCGGACATGATTTCGCAATTAACAACAACACTAACTTTCTTGCCACAGTTAAATAAATCACTCTAAGACAGTTGTTAAGCGAATCTGGCTTCACCGTTGACTTCACTTGCCAGGTCACCAAAGGGGATCACGTGACCCTGGGACACTTCAACCATCACGAATACATGCCGGTTGCCCAACTTTCGAATTGTGATCACATGACCGTGGGGATGCTGAAATGGTTGTAAGTGTGGAAAATGGCCGTTGAGTCATTTCTTTCAGTGCCGTTGTAACCGCCAAGGGTCACTAAACAGGATCACCTGTACTATAAACTCTCGTGAGCTGTAGTTCCTCTGGTTCTCCCTTTGCTTAGCGGTGATTTATCCCTTTGATTCTGTTTCCTGACTCAGGAGTCTGCCCCAGGAAAGGAAAGGGTCTGACAACTTTTCCTTTCTATTGTATATCTAGCCTTTATATTTACAATATCGCAGTCCGAAAACATGTTCTCCGGCATTTTTTTTTATAAGATCCATTATGATGGTTCCTGTACAATTTGCCTATAAACTTGATTTTATTCGTGAGCAATTGCTCTGAGAATTGGGATTAAATAAGGCAAAATGCATATGGAATAATAATAGAAGTCGAAATAAATCAGGGATCATCTTTCCCATGCTGAGTGCGTGCTATTACTAAACTGAGGAACACATTCTCCTTTTTTTTTTTTCTAAAAATACACAAATGTCTAATAGGATGTTTAAACCCACAATGGATCGTAATGCTGTCATTATAGGAAAACTGTAATCCATTCAGCAATATTTGCCATCGGGGGGAAATAGCTATTGAAGGCAGGGTGGGACTGGATATATATTTTAGTGATTTTCCATGACAGATGGCAAAAATCGTCAGTTACTGGAACAAAACGTTTTTGCCAGGATTATAAAAACTTCGGGCTAGCTGGTACCTCCTAGCATATAAAACAAAGCTTTCAAAGGCAAAAACGAAAACCCACAATCTAAATGCGGCAACTTCCAAAGAAACTCTTGTTTCCAACTTTAGCAGCATGGCAACAACAAGAAAAAGTTTTGCAATACCGAGTTCCAAAAAACAAGAACCGTCCTCATACATCAGGCGAATTGGAAGTGTGCACTGATGGTTATTAAAATTGTTCCATTTTTTTTTCCCCGCAGCAAACTTCGGCATCAAGCACAAAGTGAAAGATTTGGATACAAAGAGGTAAATGAGCAATTTGAGTCATTTTCCTTTATTTTATTTTTTTTTCCTTTCAAGAGAAAGGCTTTGTTTACAAGCGGGTGAAGGAAGCAGCCTAAATGTCACCTTCTTGGCATAATGTAAGAGTTCTGTTTGTAATTTTGAGATGCAAAAACCACTGCGTATTTGTCTTTAAAAACATCTGGCTGTTCTGACCTTCCTCATGCAGTTGGTGCCTGGGATTGGTTTATTTGCTTGTTTATTTATGTTCTGCCTTTATTATTTTTATAAATAACTCAAGGTGGCAGACACTCACAATATTCCTCCCTTCTTCTGTTTTCCCCACAACAACATCTGAAAAAGAGAGTCGCCCAAATTCACCCAGCTGGCTTTCTTGATTAAGACAAGGCTAGAATTCACAGTCTCCTAGTGATTGGCCCAAAGTTACCCAGCTGACTTTCGCACCTAAGGCAAGACTAGAACTCAGACTGGCATAGATGGCTTCACGCTCATCCTATGAGTTTCTGAAACATGCCCATCTAGGCTTCACTCTAGAGCAGGGGTCTTCAAACTTGGCCCTTTTATGACTTGTGGACTTCAACTCCCAGAATTCCTCAGCCAGGCATTCTGGGAGTTGAAGTCCACAAGTCATAAAAGGGCCAAGTTTGAAGACCCCTGCTCTAGACCATGACAGCTATATACCCATCAGCATGAAGCCATCTATATCAGCCTGATGTTATGGAGTTGCATATATACAGACTTATCCTGCAAGACATATCAAAGTACATGAACTCTGGTGGAATAAGCCAAGAAACCCTACTTGAATAAACCCAAGTTTCTCAGAGCTCCTGATTGTAACTCTGCATCCGTGTTAAGATATTAAATGGAAGCACTAAGCTGAAGAAGACTCCTGCGAGTCCCCTGGACTGCAAGGCGATCAAACCGGTCAGTCCTAGAGGAGATCAACCTGACTGCTTTTTAGAAGGCCAGATCCTGAAGTTGAAACTCAAGTACTGTGGCCACCTAATGAGAAGGAAGGACTCACTGGAGAAGAGCCTAATGCTGGGAAAGATTGAGGGCAAGAGAACAAGGGAACGACAGAGAATGAGGTGGCTGGATGGAGTCACTGAAGCAGGAGGTGTGAGCTGAAATGGACTCCAGAAGATGGTGGAGGACAGGAAGGCCTGGAGGAACGTTGTCCATGGGGTCGCAATGGGTCGGACACGACTTCACAAATAACAACAACAAAGCCCTGCCATTCAATTGCCGTCTAATCTATCATATGTAGGAAACGCTAAAGCTTTTGCAGACTACCTGTTACAAAAAAGGGAGTATGTTCACATTTAGAAACTCAGGCTACATAGTCAGGATCTCTTTAGCATGGTCTCTTTTTCCCCCACCCCCCACCCCCAATCATCTGCTTTCCAGACACAGTGGGATTACAACTCCTGGAATTATGAAATTGATATTGACTGTGCAGAAATGATTAAACACCGTTTAATATTTAGAACGTCGATAAAATGATCTTGCTAGCTTAGGACAAGAAATCTCACGCATCCTTTTTGCGAAGGGGCAATAGTCCTGCAACCAGCTGTGCTGCAAAACAGAGCCTGAAGAACCATGAATTTCAAACAACGCGAGGACAAGATCAAAATCATGGACTCTGCTGGAGAGAGGGCAGGAAGGCTTGAGAAGTGAGAAACTCTACTAATACAAATAATGCAAATATAAAGAATTGTATCGCCTGGGCCGGATCTTCCCGGCTCGGAAAGTCTGCCTGCGGTTGTGCTGCGGTTTCTGCATCAACCAAAACTGTTGCGGTTTAGCAGCTGCCGCTGTTTGTCTTTGCAATTTTCAACAGGATTAGCTGTTTTTGGTCATTCAGCACCCGTGCTCTGATCCTAATCTAGTGCCTTCCTTCCTTTCAGGTGGTTTTGAAAGGTGATGCCAGAAAGCTAAACTTACATGGGGTGAGTAAACCCACCGATGAGCCAAAAGAGTTGATTTCTCAGCAATAATGAAAGCAAGACGTCCTTTCATGTATTTACAGTTCAAACACATACAGGTGTGGTTATGCAAATATATGTCTGCAGGAGAGAGCTTTGTTGTGAGTTAGCTCCTGGATTCTGTCCTGGTCGTGCAATTTTTTTTTTAATAAATGAGATTAGGAGAGAGAAGGGATGTTCAGCAAATCTGCAGATGGCCCCAAACTGGGGACAATTGTTAACTTCTCGGAAAAACAGGTTCAAAAAGATTTTAATAGGGTTTAATTTTGAGTCCTTTCCAGCAAAATGTAGTTCAGTGATGAGGAGAAATGTATGGCACCGCACTTAAAATAGGAAAAAAAAAATGAGATGTGCAGGTACCTGGCTCAACACAACCACATCTATGGCCGTCTGCAGCATGCAGGGTGAGGTGAAAAGCATTTTACAACAGTTGTGCTGAAAACTAGCACACACTTCCAGTTTTTTTTTGTGGGGGGGGGGAATGCACAATAGCAAACAATGGGTTTCCTTAATGACCATGGAATTCATGCTTACAACTGCCCCATTCGCTTAACAATGCAAAAAAAACATAGTAAAAGGGTAGTAATCTTTTACTACTGTTGTGACTTACAACCATAATGAGCAGGTTCCATTAAGTCCAAACTCGAGGACTATCTATGCAGTGAGATCCATATAAGGAGAACATTCCTGAGAGCTATTAAGCAACAATAGGTCCAGCATCATGGAATCCTGGGTGTTCCATCACCCTGGTTTTGAAACAATAGTTGGACAGACATTTCTCGGAAGATAGTCTGAAAATTTCTGACCTGGACAGAGAGTTGGACTAGAAGACCTTCAAAACCGCTTCCAATGATACGATTCTTATCACTCCATTTAGTGACCAGCTAACAAAGCAAAATCCACAGCAGAAAAAAAAAGAAGACGAAACCCAACATGCCAACATAATTGACAGTATGAGCCGTGGTGGCGCAGTGGGTAAAATGCAGTATTGCAGGCTAACTCTGCCGACTGCCAGCAGTTCAATTCTCACCGGCTCAAGGTTGACTCAGCCTTCCATCCTTCCGAGGTCGGTAAAATGAGGAGCCAGATTGTTGGGAGGCAACAGGCTGACTCTGTAAACCACTTAGAGAGGGCTTTAAAGCACTGTGAAGTGGTATATAAATCTAAGTGCTATTGGTATAGTTGAGTGGAGAATTGTATGTAGTTGAGAGAATTGACAAAAAAAAGATCACACTTTGGCATCTCTGGCTTAAAAGATCAGAAAGCTCAGGGTCAGGCAGATTATACCCAGGTTATATGTGTTATTCCTTTACAAGATATCTGCTCTCCCCACCAAAGAGAGTCTGTTGCAAGAAACATAGGTTATCTGAACAGCCTGTTTAATCCAGTTATTGAATTAACCTATTTTCTAGCCTTTCCCAATACATTCCTCTAATAGAATACACCGAATTGCAAAAATCATAAATCAAGGTTAACACTAATCAGGCTTAAGTGTTGTACAAATACAGCTACTGCTTCTTCGCCTGAAAAGATTAGGTAAACACAGAGGCCGCAAAGGATTCTGAACCCAGGGTTGTTGTTTTTTCTGAACTCCGAAACTGAATGCCTTTTATTGTCTTTCCCCCCCAAAAAAAAGATCTTCTGATGACCCATAAAAGCAGGATAATTTAGGAGGTTAGAGATTCATATTATTACCACTACTGTTGAAATCAGAAATCTTCAACAATCTACTGCAAATTACTTTAGATTTAATCAACCTTTGAGATGGTAAATGGTAGGGAAAATCTTTTCCAGAAACTTGTCAAGAATTGTTGTATGCTGGAATCCACTAGCCTTCTCCAACTGATCCATGTTGGAATTGCCATGTCCAGAATACCCAACCAACATGACCAAACTAGTTGGACATTCTAGATATGCAGAACCCATAAACATTAAACTGGGAAAGGTTGGGTTAGATAATGCTGACCCATAATCGAATACGATAGAAAACAATTTCCTAGGACTATTTGGGCTATAACAGATGTTCTCCAAGATCTATACAACCCCACATTCTCAGAAGGTTTTATAGACTGCAAAGATAGTTTCTGGACTGTGGAAGACACATTTGTAGATTGGTGCTATTGAATAAGCCCAGATAAATGCTGACCTGCCTTGATAGCCAAGGAACATTGAACCGTGAGCTAAGTAATTTTGCATCCAGCAAATCACGATTAGAAGCAAATGACTCGGCAGAACATTGCCTCTTGATAACCCTACTATTCCAAGGTTTTCCTTCTGCTTCCCACAAAAGTATTGATATGTTCCCCCCTCCCCAAAAAAAATCAGCCATAGTTTGCTGTGGAATCTACAACAGGTAAGCATGCGTAATTCCTGCTTTGAGGGGTCTTCAGTACTTTCTGAGCCTAATTGTTTTCTTGCGCACATTTCATTACTCAAACTAAGTAACATCATCAGTGCTAGTCTGTTATGACTAGTGTTGATGATGTTACCTAGTTTGGGTAATGAAATGTCCACAAGAAAACCACCAAGCTGAGAGAGCACCAACGACCCCTCCTTCCAGCCCTGAGCTACAGATATTCTCCTTTATTGATTCCTGCTTTGTGATGTTTGCCCGTTCTCCCCTCTTTCTCCCGCAGCAGACTTGTGCCGTCTGCCTGGAAGACTTTAAAGTGAAAGATGAACTGGGAGTGTTGCCATGCCAACATGCCTTCCACAGAAAGTGAGTAGATGCCAAGGACAGCCCCAAAAAGCTGCTTTGTGCCTCTCATCTTGGCAACCAGCCACGGTATTCATTCAGCATCCGCCATGCCCGTGGTGGAGAGAAGAGGGGGTGGGCGCCCGGGATGATAAAGAGGGAGGCTATTTGTTGTATTTTGAGATATTTGAGCCAAGGGACAGCAAATGGGGAAGGAGATTAAGCACAGACCTGAATTAAATGGATAAAAACCGATCAGACCTAATTCATCACACTCAGGAATTGTGCCAGGTTGCTGTAGCCAAAAGCCTGAAGCAAACACTTGATGCCAAGAACATCTAGGCCTAGGCCTATTTTGTCTTCAGAGTTCATTTGAATTGGGGGGGAGGCATTTGGACTCAGCTCCAAAGTAGGAAGGATGGACGAGTTGGATCGTGGAAGAAGAAAAAAATGTTCTTCTTAAGGCAGGGGTAAACCATTAATTTTCCAAGGAGCTGTATAAGGAACTGGGACTGTTGTGGAGGGATGATCCAATAGGGCTGGGGGAAGGTGCATTAGGTACGCATGCACGTACATACATAAATTAAAACAAAAAACAAAGCAGCAGTATCCTTCAAAATAAAAGCAATCCACACGGGCCAGGCAGGGGGAGTCAAAGGGCCAGATGTGGTCCGAGGGACATAAAATGCCCAGATCTGTTCTAAGAGAATACAAATCTGCATTTTCTGTTTCAGGACAGGTTCGTGTTTTGCGTGTATCCAGCAGATCCAATTTAGAACCCATATTTTTAGGGTGAAATGTCTATGGAGATTCTCAGTCATCCAGGTCATGATTATCCCAAAGGGTGCTTTTTCAAAAGGGCAACTGGACGTTTTGCTTCTCATCCAACAAACTCCTTCAGTTCTGGCTGAATGGTGGAGAATGGAAGGATTTATATTCCTTGCAATCACCTGGTCGTCTGAGAGTCATTAAGGCTACTTGGAGGTTTATCTGTGCCCTCAGGGTCACAGATTTAAGGTGAAATAATCCAGTTTTGTTTTGTTTTTTTAATTTGGTGTCCCACGTCTTCTCCATAACAGAACTCAAAGTGACCCAGGCGGATGTTTCCCATCTTAGCACATACCAGACTCAAACATGCTTAGCTTTAATTACTAGCAAGATCAGATGTTCTCCTTGATATCCAGGATACTGACAACAGCAGCTGGGGAAGGGGCTCTTCAGTTCACCCTCGTCTGAAACCAGCATGGATGGCTGTTGCTTTCAGCTTACGTGGTTTCACGTGGAAGTCCAGATATGGAAGATTTAACCGGAGCATGTCCACCTACTATAATAAATCTTGCTCCTGTCTCTTTTGTTAAAAGGAACAGAACGTTGGGTAATTGCTGGACTAAAAGTAGGTTGAGAGTGAGTTACAAATTCATTTTAGGGTTTGCCTTCCTTCCTTCCTTCCACATCCATCTTATAACCAAGTCTGGACGGCTCCCAATCAAAAGTAAAAACTTTATAAAAACCATAACAAAACTTTAAAATTAAACACATTAAAAACAACGAAAATCTGGTGCCAAGCCATATCAGGAAATTAAGTAAAGCTGCTGCAAATTAAAAAAAAACACAAGAAAAAAATACTCTATAAATACAGTGCTCTCATAATTTAGCCTTTCAGACAAAATAACGTAATGTTAATGTGTCACCAAGAGCAATATGTCTTTGGGATGGTAGGAGCACTTTGATAGGCTGTGGCCCAAGGTCAGTTAGCCCAGGTAAGTGTAAAATTGGGAAGGGATGCTGATCAGAAAGATGCTGCTGCTATAGGGTCTTCTCGGAATGTTAGTTAAGCTAATAATATTTTCAAATTATACCTCCCCGTCTCTTTACACTCCTACCCCCACTTGGGCTGCAGGTGCCTTGTGAAGTGGCTAGAAGTTCGATGTGTTTGTCCCATGTGCAATAAACCTATAGCGGGTCCCTCAGAGCCTCACCAGAACATTGGGATTCTCCTGGATGAACTAGTGTGACCATCTTCCTGCCCACATTTCCCCACAAAGAGCCTTTACTGATTATTGCCTTGGGATTGTGGGCTTCAACAGTCTGAGACGGTTTCCAAGTGGATGTTCATCTTAACCTTCTTAGAAGGCAGCATGGACCATTCCAAGTGCCAAGGTGGAAAGCAAGCTGGCCTTGTTCTCCATCTACCATCTGGGAGCCATTTCTGGGGAAGACCGATCAGAACTGCGGGGGAATCTCTGTTTGGGATGACTAACCAACTGAAGGACTCGAAGCAAGAAAGTCTGAACTTTCCCAGGATGACTCTGGTGAACAATTGAACTTCAGCGCCAAGCGTCCACAACTGGTTGTTGTGATGCCAACTGTGAGATCAAAGTCTTCCCTTTGTGTAGGGCTTGCTGGTCCGAATCCACAGATGGCGATATAGCCTCTCTGATTTCTAATGAGCCCTTTCTTTTTATAGTAAGTCAGCTCCTGCCATTTGGGCTGTCTCGATTTCTGCTCCTTAGGGATCCCTTCTGCAATTTGAAAACAAGAGCTATTGCTGGCTTCGGCTAGGCCCTTCTCTGCAAAATCTACAGTGTTTACATAAGACTTAAGCAGAAAGCCTCCCACGGGCTGCAGAAGGAGCACCAGTTCAGCTATACACCACCGACCCAGCAGAGCTGAAAAAGAGCCCACTTCTTTTCTCCAATATTGTGGAGAAAGGGAGCCACTTTGTGGCATTTGGGTCACCCTAGAGGTGGCCAGCTGACGAAGACAGGGGCATGAAAAGGGAGAGAGATCAACCCTCCTCTTAGATTTCAGAAGATGAGTGAGATTATTTTCGTAAGTGGCCTTTTAACTTTCTTTTTGCCTATTCTGTCCTTGTATAGAAAAATTAAAAAAAAATACTTTCTCTGAAACCGGACTTTTTTTTTTTGTCCTCTTTTGATTATGTGTTTGCAACATGAGTAATCCACTTAGCAGGAAGGAGGGCTGAAGGCAACATGGTAGATTAAAGGGTTGTGGAAGCATTGTGTAAACATCCCCCCCACATGCATACACAAACGTGAATGTACCTATTAGGGATATGCATAACTTGAGGTATGATACCAAGAAGATACTCTGGAGCATATGAAGGTGAGAACATAGCTATGCACACAACTTTAATACCCGTCCATCCCCACAGGTAGAAGTGAAGCTCAGCTCTCAACATTTCCTACCTGAAACTCTGGGAAGGTACTACAATTCTGACTATATTTGCATAACACAGTGACAAACTAAACACATTTTAGCCTAGGATGTTTTGCAAATTCAACCTGTGATGGGGTTTTTTTTTAATTTAATGTAATGTACAGAAAATTGGATTAACGGACTAAACTAAGGTTATGTTAATCTTGTTTTACAAACACAGCTGTTTTCCTTTAGTTGAGATCAACATCTCTGTGGGCACTGGGAGTCAGGCAACATATAAATTTGAAGAAACAAACAAACTTTCATTTTTCTTGTCAAGAACGCAAAGGGGGTTGATCACTGCTGCTGCCTAGAAATTTTTTGAGATTTTCAATTAAAGTACTACCCCCTTTAACATCCATGAAGGTGAGTTAAATGTTGTAGTCAGTCATGACTACAAATTTGATCCATGAGAGAACAATACAAGAAATGAACATAGGGGAAAAATGTCTTACAGACTTGGTAACAGAAATTGGAATACAAATGCTTAGGCACTAAAACTTAATGGAAGAACAAACTATGAGAATACATCCAGTGACACAGCATAGGTCATGAAATTCCCCAAAACAATATTTTTTTAGAAAAAAAAGGTACAGAAGTGGATGAAAGAAAAATCAAAACGATAGGCTAGGGATATATTCGATTATATGTATAAAGGAGAAGAAAAATAGAAAATTCAGGACTATAAATTACAGATCTAGATGCTCTTCAAGAGTTGCTTCATCTGAACTTGGGATCTTCAGCAAAACCTTAATAATAAAAAAAAGTCTGCTTAATACTGTGTTAAACTTTAAACTGTAGGGGCCAGTTCTGTTTTACTCTAGATATTATACTGTATTGTTAAAAAAAAACACCTAAAAGACATTATATGAACATGAAACGCAGACACCTCAAACAGGAAGCATGGTGAAGACCGGATGTGACCGTCTTTAAATGAAACATGGAGACAGAAATTCTGATATACACACATACGTACATACTCAGGATCACAGGCGCAGAACCAGAGGCCGTATATCTTGAACTGCATTATCCTGTGTATTGGGACAAGGGAATTGCTTTGTAACTGTTACATTTGTACTGGGTGTTCTGTGCAGAACAATGAACTTGGCAAAAGTTATTCTCTCCTGTTATCCTCCCCAAAACTTCAGATAGATTTGATTGATCAATATCCCCTCACAAAATATCAGCCCCTTGTGATGGCTAGAAAGCCTAATGCAGATAATATCAGGTCTTCCACACTTCTTTTGCCTAAATGTAGGTGCTTTTCTTTCATTACCAGTGGCGCTTAAGTCTCCGTGTCGCCGTAAGTTTTTGTTGTTTAAAAGGATTTGTATAAATACAAACGACTCATATAAAGATACCCAGTCATTTCCAGATTAAGCCACATTTCCGTTGGTGACAGCTTGGATTTACTGGGTCCTATTGCACCCATTGTGCTCAGAGAAGCCACAGCAGCCAAAAAAAAATCAACCAATTCACACACTAAAGAAACAATATGAAGATGGACACAACCACAAGCACCAATAATCAACTAATTCACACGCTAAAAGAAACAATATGGACACAAGGACTAACAATCAACTAATTCACACACTAAAACAAGCAATATGAAGATGGACACAAGCACCAACAATCAACTAATTCACACGCTAAAAAACTATGAAGATGGACACAAGCACCAACAATCAACTAATTCCCACGCTAAAAAACAATATGAAGATGGATACAAGCACCAACAATCAACTAATTCCCACGCTAAAAAACAATATGAAGATGGACACAAGCACCAACTAATTCGCACGCTAAAAAACAATATGAAGACAGGCACAAGCAACAACAATCAACTAATTCACAGGCTAAGAGCAACAATACGAAGATGAATACAAGCAACAGTCAACTAATTCACACTAAACAACATGAAGCTGAGCACAATCACAAAATATCAACTGACTCACAGGCTACAATACTAACACAACCCTATCTCACAAGTGGAAACGCTCCCTAGGTTCCGGTCAGATGGGTTCTGTGCCCCGTCGTAACATTCGGGACGGCACATCTCACGCATGCGCATGAACACCCCACTCATCACATGGAAGAACCTGAAGGATCGAAGAAAGACCGCCGGAAGCCGCGCTAGCAAAGCCACGCCGACGGCTTCCAGGTTATGATGAACCCGCTCTTAACTACCTTATCTCAAATTTCAGATCCTGATTTAAAAACACAAGCAACGGTCCTCCGTCCCTCTTTCTCTGAGCCTTCGTCCGTCTTGTTTCTCCCACAAAAACCAGAATCGGGCGCTCTCATTACCTATGCTAATATATTCGCCAGCAGCCCCGCCCCCAGATATTCTTGGCAACTGGGGGTCTGCTTTCAAGGCAAGGGTCCGGTGATTAAGGGGAGTCGGAAGGGTCAAACCTTTGCAATTCTAGGAAGGAAACTCTGCCATAGAACCAGCTCCGACTGAGGAAAGCGACATAGGAAAACAGTGAGGAGAAAACGGCGAAGCCGCCGAGAAGGCCAGACGGATGCCTAGAGAGAGAAAAATGTAGACCGGCCCAAAGTCTCAACTTCCGGTTAAATCCGGAAGAATCTGTTCCCAGAGTTACGGGCCCTGATTCACGAAGAATGAAAAGAAAGCGCCTCTTTTCCTTCAGTTATGGATTAAAGTAGAGCGTGCGGTGGCCGCAAGGTGCAGAACTACCGCTCTTCAGAGCTTCCTGACCATTCGCGTAGCCCTTTCTTACCTCTGAGGAGAGAAGATTAAACTTCCGCTTCCGGCGGAAAGCGGAAATCCGCATGAACTTCCGTTCTGCTGCAGCCGGGCCGCTTCTGCGGTTCTCTCCCGCGGGCATCGTAGGGCGGAGGCCGGATTTGTCACCGGCTCGAGTCCGGATGGCGCTGAGCGCGATTCGAACTCAAACCCAGGAAATCCAAAGAAGGAAGCCGGCATTTTAAAGCTCAGAGAGAGCCGGGACGGCCAGGCCCGGGAGTCGGGAGGAGAATCAACGGGAGAGGCCGGGAGTCGGTGCAGAGAGGGGCCGCGAGGCCTTCGCAGGCCGCTATGTCCGGGCGCAAGGCCCGTCCCAGCCCTGCGGGGCGGCACCCCTCGCGGGGTCCCGCCAGGGGGAACCTGGGCGACCCCGCTTCTTCCCCGGCAGACCAGGCCCTGCCCCGGTTCCTGCGGCTTTTGGGAAGCGGGGCGCCCTGCCCAGCCCAGCTGGGGCTGGTCAGAGACCTCTCCGCCCTGCTGGAGGCTGCGGACTCTCGGTGGCTGCTTGGGGCCGCCCCAGCCCTGCTTCAGGAACTGGTGCTGGCCCTGAGCCGCTACGCAGCGCCTCTCCAGTGGGAGCCCGAGGGAGGCAGATCCCCCAGTGAAGACCCTTCTGGGGCGGCAGGAGCTGAGCGAGCAGCGGAAGTCAGCCTGGTTTTCTGCAACATCCTGGCCAAAGTAGAAGAGGCGAAAGATTTGGAGGGCTTGGACTCTGCGGGGACTGGCGCGATCCTCCGCCAAGTGACGGGACCCATCTTCCTCTGCGCAGTGACCCATGGGGCGGAGAGGCCGTGGACCCGGCCCAGGAGTCAGCGTGGGGCTCAGGAGCTCTTGGACACTCTGTTACGTCTTTTGGGCTATACGTCGATACCCGAGTTCCTCAGAGGCGCCCGTGAAGGCGAACCTGGCTGGTTTGGGGTGGTGATGCAGTGCCTGAAGCCAGAGCTGACCAAGTGAGTCAGAGCCCTGTGTTAATCTCTGGAAAGAAAGATACCCGTCCCATTTGTAGCCTAGAATAAAATCTGAAATGTCCTTCAGTAATCTCCTAGCAGCTGAACCTGTCAGTGTGATTGAGCTTTTAGATCAGGACAGGTGATTTGTACAGTTTTGCTTTGAAAGAGATCACGGAGAAGTATTACGGGAATGATGATTTAGGATTAGAAGTTATACCATTTTTTTTTCTGGGTTAGAATCAAATGTTCTGCCAGAAATTGTCTTCTTAAAGTAGACGGGGCCGGTGCTCAGAAGTGAATGTAATCAGAACAAATGGAGTTTTGATTTTAAACTGAAACAGGGTGAGAAATCTCTAGATTGATAATGCCGCATAGAAAAATGAATATGGCAGTTGAACATGTCAGCCGTGTTTTATTGTTGCTAAAAAAAGGCAAATGTGACTTTATTCTGCATCAATACAAATAAAATTCATATTTTCATTATTTTCTGCAGTGGCTAAATAATATGGTCCCTTTTAAATACATTTTCAGAAAACGTCAGAGAAACTGAAACAGGTTTAAAGAAGAGCAAAAAAAATACGGGTGATCTCTGGACTAACAAGGAGAAATTGAGAACTGGATGTTTAGGCTTGAGAAAATTCAATGAAGTTGGAATGCGATTGCATTTTCAAAGTATCTGTGGGAACATCATCCATAGGTTCAAGACCTGTCTATCTATCATCCCTGACAGCAGGATTCAGAATAGTAAACTTAAGTTATTGGAAAGCAGGGTTGAATGTTAGAAAAAAAAACTTCTAAACAATAAGAACAGTTTGACAGTTAATCCATTGAAATAGAGATTGGTCAGCCATT